CGGGCGCATTCTTTACCACTGTGCCACCTGGGAAGATGACTGAGTCAATGCAACTGAATCCTTCCTGCTGAGCTCTGGCCCAGAACTCATGACGTCCCACTTTTCAGCAGATCTGGCAGACAGAGGAGACCAGCCAACATTCATCTTGCAGACCTCGGGGGGATTTGGGGACTGGAGGAGGGAGAGAGTAACACACAGGCAGGCTCTCTGGAAGCCATCTATTTTACCCTCTGGACCCCAGAGCTTTGATCTCACTCCACAGATCATCTCTCTGTAATCATATCACATCTTTCTTTCCACCCATAAAGCCTGAAAGATTAGGGACAACTGACTTAGGATAATAATAACAAGTCCAATATTCACGCAGCTCCTTTCTTCCAAGGAAACTGGAGGCCCTTCCAAGGTCTCCACATTCATCTTGCAGCCCTTCTGCCAGGCTAACAGTAGTTTTGCTATTTAGCAAAACAAGAGCCGGGCTGGGGAAAGAGCTTAGAGATTTTGCTATGGTAAATGAGAGGACGATGGTAAATAAGTCAGACATTGATGAGTCTACTGAACAAACAAAATTTCATATTGTGCAATGAATCCCCCTAAAGAGCAGTATTCCCTGCAAAAACAATATTGGAGGTTTCTATAAAGACTCTAAGAAATATGTTAAATATACACAATTTTTTTTACAGATATCTTAAAATGTGGAGAAAGAACAGAAAGTAGCAGTTGAGGTTGGCAGGCAGGATCTTTACAGGAAACGTTAACTGTGACCTTCCTCATTGCCACTGTTTTCTACTGGCCTGTCTTTCCAAGAAGACCTTAAAGACCTTTCTTTAACTATGTTTTTCACCTGGGAATCAGATCTTGTGTCTTATTCCAGAAAATTTGCTGCTCTGTCAAGATAGAGTGAGCAGGCATCAGATGGAGCCAGGGATGGTTTCAGGACTAACTTGCTAATTCAGGGTGCTGATTCTTTCAGCTTTTGTCTCACTTGCTTTTTTTTCTTTTAGACTCTGCTATTATGGCCAGCCTAAAAGCAGACTATTCAAATTATACTTGATAAGGCTCTCTCAATTAGAGGAGACGGGAATGCTGTCACTATGGTTCTCTCTGAAATTATTAGTGCTTTCATTGGTGCTTCAGAAAGATGACAGCAAGTGGAACCCAAATGCCTGCAGCACTGAGTTTTTTTTTTAATAACTTTTGATTATATATTAGGGTATAGCAAATTAACAATGTTGTGACAGTTTCAGATGGACAGCAAAAGGACTCAGTCATACATATACATGTATCCATTCTGTCCCCAACTCCCCTCACACCCAGGCTGCCACATAACATTGAGCAGAGCTCCTCGTGCTAGACAGTAGGTGCTTGTCCATTACCCATTTTAAACATAGCAGTGTGAACATGTTAATTCCTTAGGAAGCATCACTATGAACAAAGCTAGTGGGTGTGATGGAATTCCAGTGGAGCTATTTCAAATCCTGAAAGATAATGCTGTGAAAGTGCTGCACTCAATATGCCAGAAAATTTGAAAAACTCAGCAGTGGCCACAGGACTGGACAAGGTCAGTTTTCATTCCAATCCCTAAGAAAGGCAATGCCAAAGAATGCTCAAACTACCGCACAATTGCACACATCTCTCATGCTAGCAAAGTAATGCTTAAAATTCTCCAAGCCAGGCTTCAACAGTACATGAACCATGAAATTCCAGATGTTCAAGCTGGATTTAGAAAAGGCAGAGAAATCAGAGATCAAATTGCCTTCATCTGCTGGATCATCAAAACAGCAAGACAGTTCCAGAAAAACATCTACTTCTGCTTTGTTGACTACACCAAAGACTTTGACTGTGTGGATCACCACAAACTGTAGAAAATTCTTAAAGAGATAGGAATACCAGACCACCTGACCTGCCTCTTGAGAAATCTGTATGGAGGTCAAAAAGCAACAGTTAGAACTGGGTGTGGAACAACAAACTGGTCCCCAGTCGGGAAAGGAGTACATCAAGGCTATATGTTGTCACCCTGCTTATTTAACTTATATGCAGACTACATCATGTGAAATATCAGACTGGATGAAGCACAAGCTGGAATCAAGATTGCCAGGAGAAATATCAATAACCTCAGATATGCAGATGACACCACCCTTATGGCAGGAAGGGAAGAAGAACTAAAGAGCCTCTTGATAAAAGTGAAAGAGGAGAGTGAAGAAGTTGGCTTAAAGCTCAACATTCAGAAAACTAAGATCATGGCATCTGGTCCCATCATTTCATGGCAAATAGATGGAGAAACAATGGAAACAGTGACAGACTTTATTTTCTTGGGTTCCCAAACCACTGCAGATGGTGACTGCAACCTTGAAATTAAAAGACACTTGCTCCTTGGAATAAAAGTTATGACCAAACTAGACAGCATATTAAAAAGCAGAGACATTACTTTGCCAACAAAGGTCTGTCTAGTCAAAGCTATGGTTTTTTCAGTAATAATGTACGGATGTGAGAGTTGGACTATGAAGAAAGCTGAGCACCAAAGAATTGATGCTTTGAAATGTGGTGTTGGAGAAGACTCTTGAGAATCTCTTGGGCTGCAAGGAGATTCAACCAGTCAATCCTAAAGGAAATCAGTCCTGAATATTCATTGAAAGGACTGATGCTGAAACTGAAACTCCAATACTTTGGCCACCTGATGGGCAGAGCCGACTCGTTAAAAAAAACCCCGATGCTGGGGAAGATTGAAGGCAGGAGGAGAAGGGGACAATAGAGGATGAGATGGTTGGATGGCATCACTGACTCAATGGACACGAGTTTGAGTAAGCTCCAGGAGTTGGTGATGGACAGGGAAGCCTGGCGTGTTGCAGTTCATGGGGTCGCAAAGAGTCAGATACAACTGAGCGACTGAACTGAAGTGAACTGAAGATGTCAATCCCAAACTGCCTATCTCTTTTCCACTTCTTTTCCCACTGGCAATCACAAGTTCGCTAAGTCTGTGAGTCTGTTTCTGCTTTGTAAGTAAAGACTATTAATTTATTAACAGTTTCAGACTATGTACCATCAGGCTCCACTCTCCTCATTATCCTATGCACAGGATGGCACTAAGTGCCCACGTGGGCAGGAAGAAGAGCAACAGGTCTGCGTAAACGCTTCCTCTCCTGCCAGCAAGCCCTCTCGATCTGGACATCTGCCCCTACCGGACATTTTAGCAGTAGCCATCTCTCAACTGACCAGCAGGCTGATCAGTGGGGAGGCTGCTGTCCCCCCAGCAAATGAAAATCCCTGTTCCTATTGCAGAAGTGGAATCACTTAAGAAGATTATTACCGGAGGAGCTCACCCTTCTCTGCTAAGCTCTTGTTCACTCGGCACCTGGCACTAATACAGGAGGCTACTGAAACAAACGGCTCAGTACAGAAAAGCAGCCACACTCCTTCATGTCCTAAGCAGGGTGTAGCTTTTCTTTTTCTACTTATGATGGCTTTAAAAGCCCTACCTCATATTTAGAAAGCACATGCTGCTTAAACCTTTCTCTTCTTGGAGAAGGAAATGGCAACCCACTCCAGTATTCTTGCCTGGAAAAGTGCATGGACAGAGGAGCCTGGCAGGCTGCAGTCCACGGGGTTACATGCCTGAGCACGAGTATGCATGAAGAGGGTGGAGGGAGATGGGTTGGTAGCAATAAACTGGTGGAACTCAAACAAACAAAACCTTCTCTTCTACTTAACATTAATCAATCCTCTCACCTGGTGAGACTGGCATCATTATTTATAATTTTCCAAGAAACTAGGGTTCAGGAAAGAATATAAATATTACCAAGTCAAGGTATAAATAATGCCAGAGTGAGGAATTCAAACTATTCCAACCCATTTTGCATCTGATAATAAGCTCTTATTGCTATGAGTAGTAAAATTATTTACAACTTTATCAATGCTTTCAAGATCAAAGGAGACAATTTTACATTTATTATGTGAGATCACGGACATTTAGACATAATGAAGAAAAACAGATTATGGAAGCCTGTGACTTGAATCATCAGAAAAATGTAATAAATTTATCAAGACTAAACAGACCTCAGGCAAATGGAAAACAAACCTTTGTGGGTTAAAGACCAAAGCTGAAACTTGGGAATAAAATGTGGAAACTAGGGTGGGCTGCCAAAGTGATATAATTGGAATATTTGAATTTTTGTCACTTAGAACAAGAGGAAGCCAGGTGAAGGAAAGGACAGGTAATAAGTAGAGAAATTAATAGAACTAATTCAATAGAGGTTAAAAATGAAATTCAGGAAAAGAACCTTAGAATTTAAAAATGATTACCCAAAAGGGGGAATAGGACATCATCAGGGCAGAAAACCATGCCTGCTATATTAAATGGAGCATGTGAGGAAAGAGTTTTCCAAATTCTTTTCCTAACTTCTGTTTACACCCCAGCTTTGTTACAGGGCTCAGAGCACATACACTCAGACCAGTATTCCAAGGAGCTTACCTTCCTTTGTTAAATGCTAGGTACTACTCCCATATATTTGCCTGAACTGTGATTAGGGTTTTCCACTGCCCATGGGTGAACTTACACCAGATGAAATCTTGACCTGAGACAAGCTAAAGGAAAGAAAGTACTCCAAGGTCCCAGCTCCCTGGTTCCACGTCTCAAACTTTACCTCCAGAGGCAAAATGCTAAGTTTTTTTTTAAAAAGAAAATTAGTTTCATTGCTAATTTTTAATTCCAAGCACTTTGAGATCTATGAAGTTCCACAATGAGATTGTTAACAGAGACAAAGATCATAAAATTTCAAGCAACACAAATGGCTAATTTATGCTAATTAGTGATTTTTGGCAAATAACATGGCATACATCCATTCCATGGGGAATGCTCCTCAAATGGCAGCAGGAGTGTGACATGCATATGTAATTCAATTTAATTTAATGCTATAATTTTTTTAAAGAAAATGTTTCGACCTCTTAAAGCATTGGTGAGAAATGCACCTTTTCTATTTTGAAATGAAGAAAACAGCTTAACTTGCCTTGCTGAATAAAATGGACACCATGAAGAAATCCAGTAAGAAACTCTCTGAAATATCTTTGTAGTCGAAATGGAAAAAGATCACTGTGAAGCCCAAGTGAGTAAACTGGTGGACTGGGTTACAGAAAGAGGTCCGTAGCAGCTTCATGCCTGCAATGACCATCAGAAAAATGTCCCAGCTGTTGAAAAGGAAAGAAAGGAGATGATCAGTGGTGGTCCACACGCTGCTGGGTGAGTTACAACGGCTCACGTGTCTTGAGTGCTTACTGTGAGTTGTGCACATTACAAAAAGCCAAGACAGTGGGTTATAATCTTCATTTTACAGAGGAGTAAATTGAGTCTCAGAGTTTCAGTCATTCATCTCACAGGGTGACAGTAGGATTGAAACTGGATCCCAAGGGACTCGCCAACAGACTCTGCCACTAGAGGCAGCTTCCCCACTGTGCTCAGAACTTTGCAATCAAGGGCACAGAGCTTCCTGGGAGCTTATCTGAAGGAGCTACTGCATTGTCAAGTTCCATGGGAAGCTTCGTGGCAAGTGAGAAAGCAGAGCAGGTTGTCCTTGTTAGCATCAGCTCAGTGCAAGCCTTTAAAAAAATTACAAATCTCACTGAATCAATGCCATAACAGTGTGAAGTGTTAATCAGTCTTGTCTAACTCTTTGTGACGCCATGGACTATAGCCTGCCAGGCTCCTCTGTCCATGGAACTCTCCAGGCAAGAATACCAGAGTGGGTTGCCATTCTTTCCTCCAGGGGATCTTCCTGATCCAGGGATCGAACCCAGGCCTCCTGCATTGTAGGCAGATTCTTTAACATCTGAGTAACAGTAGCTAATATTAAATTCTGAAATAAGGAAAAATCCCACTGTCTCAATAAAACTGTTTTACTTTACATATTCATTGCCAATGTTTTCCACCATATTTTTTGTCTTTGTAAACATAAGCTTTCTGATCTTTTTTTTTCCCCACTAAAAATTATATCAACAACATGACACAGGTCCCCATGACCTAGACCTTCTGAGTTACGAAACAGGACAGAGGCAGACCCGCAAAGAAATAGCAGGATTCTGCTGTGAGGACCAACCTCCTCAGTTCTCCTGTCTAACTATTCTGGGGGCAGGTGCTATGTGCACAATTCTAGCAGACAACAAGGTCAAAAATCTACCCACCTTGAGACGGGAAGGTAACTGATCAGTGCTCAGAACAGCCAGAAAGAGCACACCACTACCTCCTTGAGGGGTCGGTCCTTTTGAAAGAAAGTTTTGCACATTTTAACCAGATTTCCCACTAGTTTGAACATCCTATTTGGGAACTCAAAAGAAAAAGAAGTGGAAATATGTTCCAGAGAACAGTTGCACTTAAAAGAGAGGTTTCCTTTTTAAAACAATTTTATGAACATATCGTTGATTTACAATGTGGTGATAATTTCTGCTGTACAGGAAAAGTGACTCACTTATACCCTTATCAGCATCAATAATGCCTCAGGATCCAGGCAGTAAAAGCATGTCTCCTAAGTCTTGGTATCTATCAAGGACAAAATTGTCATTTTTGTCATCAAAAAGATCTAATGGTAGTATTTTCATTGGCCTTTGGCCTCAATCTAATAATTTATACGCTTTCAGACCTAGTGTTGCAATCGATTCTACCCTGTCCCTGAGTGAGTTCTGGCCAAAGCACTGTGTGGACTTAGATTCGGCTTCTGAGAAAAACTAGCCCTGATTACATGCAGATTTGGGGAGAGTGGAAAGGTGTTTAGTAACCTCTATTCCTTCAGCAAGGCTGAGCACTGCTCTATAACCCCTTTCTTCTCCAGTAGAAATTAATGGCCGTGATGAACATACAGTATGAAAACAGGACTGGAGGCCCATCTGCCTTTGCTGACAGCCCAGGATATGAGAATCCCTATGACACAGCCAAAGTTCTTGGGGAGAAGGGACCCAAAGATAAGGTGTCCCAAGGCTAGGGATATTCTGGTTTTCAAAGGAGATGAGTGGGTTTTCTCAGTTATTCAGGCAAAAATCTAGACGAGGGTTAACTCTAAACTTTGTTTTCCATGACTATGACTAAAATGGACAGCACCCATTTTATATTTATTAATGACGACTGGCGAAGACTAAGAGAGAGCTTAAGGAGTGATGCTTATGGCTTTTCTAACACTGCAATAGCAAAGGTTACAGCCAATGGTTCACAGATGGTTGTAGGCTTAGCTGAAGATTTTATAAAGGCTTCAGTAGCAATCAGTGAACAATGGCCTGGGACAGAGGCAAAGCATCCCTTTAAATCACACTGGCAGATGCCTAACAAGACCCCATGAGGCACCCACTCATTATTTACCAGGCCCCACTCAATCGTCCATCCATCCGTCCATCCTCCTACCATTTCCTGTTATTACAAGTTGAATAACAAACAGTGCCTGCCATTGAGGAGTTCACAATATGGTACCGTGGTTCTCAATGAGGGTCAGGTGTGGGCTGGGCTTACCCAGGTCTCTAGGTCTCTAGGAGATACGGACACATGGCCTCCTGCTGTCCTGTTTGAGAACAGCTGGTCTAGCAGGATACTTGAGATCTTTAAAGTCTTGAGATTTTACAGAGATTTTTTGTGTCTTCAGATGGATGCCTCAAGAATATAAAGGAGTCATCACTTTGGGCTCTGAGAAAAAGAATTCTGTGGGTATTGTCTGGGAGTTAAGAGTATTTGCAGGTACATAGGTAAGGTGCCACTTCTTTAGTGTCTTGAAAAAAATGACAGGAGATAGAGATTAATACTACTTCAAACTGGACTATCAATGACTCTTCATAATTCCTAACCTGTATATCCATCCTCCATCAACAGCCAGAACTACTTGGCCTCAATTGGCAGGCTTAACTCTCAAGGTCCTAGTCCTGATGTTGGGAAGTGAGAACTTTCAGTGCTTTTGCTGATTATCGCAGGGCAGCACTGGTACTTGGGTGGCTGTTTTGGTTCTGACTGTGAATCCTTATTTGGGAAACTGAGGATCTACCTTGTCCCAGAATGTCCTCATGGGGTCAGCCAAAATGGTACCACACTGGAAACACCTGCCACTAGAAAAGCACTGGATGTTCTAGATGTAGGGTTATCTCATGCATGGGGCCCCACCCAAACTGTAAGGTCTGCAGTCGCATCAGCTGCCTTCTCTGTCTAGTAAGACTAAATCTTCATCACTGGATCTGAAGTCTAGGAGTTTTCATCACTGGATCTGAAGTCTAGGAGTTTAATTACCAAATGGTATGGATTTCCTGGGCTTCCCAGGTGGCACTAGTGGTAAAGAACCCACCTGCCAAGGCAGGAGTCATAAGAGACATGGGTTTGATCCCTGAGTCAAGAAGATCCCCTGGAGGAGGGTATGACAACCCACTCCAGTACTCTTGCCTGGAGAATCCCATGGACAGAGGAGCCTGGCGGGCTGCAATCTATAGGACTGCAAAGTCGAAGATGACTGAAGTGACTTAGCACACACATATGGACTTCTTGCCCTGGCCTGATTGAACCAGGTCTGGACTAGAAGGAAAACAGAGTCTGATAAAGACAGGAAGGTTATAGGGTCATTTCATTTAGCGTCTGCTTTGAGTGACCATGAATCTACTCAAGGTCCAACCAAGAAATCACATGACTTTTATCTGAGTTTGCTTTATCTTTGACAAATACTGATTAATTTGTTCTCATCACACCCCTAAAGGAAGAGTAGGCCTGCTTGGCATTACACATAAGGGTTGATATGGTCATGTCATGACTCAGAAGCAAATCTGAGAAGGAATCTCTTTTACATCCTCCTCCTCTATTAACTCATTGGCAGAACTGTCAACCTTTTGTAAGAAAAACACATCCACAAATTATCACGTAGACTTTCATTTGTAAATTCAGAGTTCATTTTAAAATACAACATTTTGCAAAAACATGAGCATTTTGATGACATGAAGTCTCTTTGTGGTCCATTTTTTCTTTTAATTACAAGGCTTCTCCTGATAAATGCAGAGAGAACAGTGACAGTGATTAATTTCCCCCTCCCTCAAGCACAAAATGATAGAGTCTTTGCTAAATGAAATGACATGAGGCAATTCATAGAGTTGTAAGCATGATCGTCAGAACTCCAGGAACCCCAGGATCACACTGTGCTGTCATCATCTCGTTAAGGCTTCTGACTAAGGTTCCACAGGATGATTTTCAAATCTATTGACAATTTATTTCTAAGATCACTTCAAGCAGACATAACTCTGTTTGCACCCCAGTCTTTCAACAATAACCATCTAGCCACAGCAAGTTTGAGTAAAAGGCCACCATGGCTTACTGATACTTGGCCCATCATTAGTAGACAGAAGTTGGCTTTTGCTGCAGCCTGTTCAGAGAAAATGCACTAGATTTTGAAAATGTGTTGATTCAAATCATGGTGTGAATAAACTTCTCCACTTACTGGGTACCAAGTCGCCGGTAATTGCTTATTGAAAACGCATCCATTGTGAGGGCATTCAAAATGATTGCTGGGTACAAGATGTATTTTTCAAAACTCTGAAGCCAAACATAGAGTCTTTCAAACCACATTAAATGGGCAACATCTGAAAGAAACACAAAACCACTGAGAACAGCCACCGATCAAATTATTTTTCTTAAGTACATGTGATAATAAGTGATACTCCCCTTCCTTTCATTCAAAAGCTGCAGAACTCTAGATACATGACAGACCAATTTTCTTTCTAAGCAGGAGCTTTTTGCTTTGCTTCTACATTGTTCATAAATAATAATGTACAGTATAGGCCAGTTTCCTAATTTTTCAAGTCAATTGATTTTTTTCATATTAATTATTACTGGAACCAATGAAATCAGCTGTCACATCACATCAAAGCATCACAGAGTGAGTGAGGTGAGAAAGTGAAGGATGGAGACTTGGGGACCAATCTCATGGACCTGTCTCCTCTTAAGCTTGGCGTTGCTTCTGAGTCTGGGGCTTATTTCTGGGCTCTCTCTTTTTTCATCTATAAATCCACAATCAAATCCCTGGCCATCTATATATGTACCAGAAAGCTGATCCCCAATCTCCTGCCACCATGAATGTATTACATTTCTGTGAGTCTTCACAATGAAGGAAGTGTCACGGAAGTAAGGTTCATTTTCACAAGGGCTAAAGTTTTAAGTTATACCAATCTGGGTTTGCATTCAGACTCTACCAACCACTAGTGTGTGGTCATGGACAGTTGCCTTCATCTTTCTTAGCCTCAGTTTTGTATGTTCTGTTCATCCTTCCTACTACTCACAGTGAAGAAGTCAGCTCTCCTGCCCATGATGGGGTAAATGCAGTAGCTCTTACCCATCTCTTCCCACCTCTCTCTCTGGGGAGAAGTGAATGGTCCAACTAGTCAGAGCACACACGTCCTTAGGTCATAGTATTGGGGATAGGAAAACACCGCACCCCTGCCATCTTCGGCTTTCCTTCTCCATGGGGAGTGCACAGCAGGTTTAGATCCTCAGGTGGGCCCATCTCACTACCCCCCATTCCCCGCAGATCTCTGTCTGCTAGTAACTGAGAGGCTGAGGCAGACCCCAGCCCACCATTAGAGCTGGGTAAATGGGCCAGACAGGGCAGGACTCAAAGCCTAAATCTGCCGAGAGGGAAGGGGGCCCCATCAAACCTCTGGAATCATAGTCTCCTTCAACAATTTATAAGTTAAAAAACTTACACCCCAATAGCTTATCATGAAAAACCAACAGAGCCTGGTAGGCTTTACACTGTTTGAATGACACAAGGATCAATTCATGAAAAAGAAGCAGCAGACACACACTGTACAGAGTGACACAGCAGGGACATAAATGCGCCGTCCCCTCCAGGTTTCCTATCCAGGATTAGAGACAAATTAGCATTCCTAACCGACTTCACTGGGACTTCATGTGATGGGCACAGAAAGCCACACACACACACACACACACACACACACACATTCTACTTCCTGCTTTATGTGGTTTAAATTCTATATAAGAATATATATGTTTATAACTCAAAAACACAGAGGCTATCCTCACATGATTGAGATTATGAGAAGAGGTTTGGCATTCAGAAATCTTGCTTGAAAATAATTAATTTGAATGAGATGGGCATCATGCAAATGGACACAGTTAACACTTTATCACATGGGAACCAGCAAGAATAAACACCCCAGTGATCAGCTTAACAAACAGAAGAGAGATACAATGAGAAATTATCAAATTAGAGACAAATTTTACTTAAAAATGAAATAGGGAGGAAGTGTTAAAGGAAAAATAGTTCAAGAATAAGGATATTGGGAAAGAATTCAACTTTGAGTATTCTTAATGGTTAATGTGCAATGTTTTCTGGTTAGGGTTTGGAAATGGGTTAATTAATAAGGAATGAAGTTTATGATATATAATTGGCCTCCCTAGTCGCTAAAACAGTAAAACATCTGCCTGCAATGCAGGAGACCTGGGTTCGATCCCTGGGTGGGAAACAACTCCTGGAGAAGGAAATGGCTACCCACTCCAGTATTCTTGCCTGGAGAATTCCCATGGACAGAGGAGCCTGGTGGGCTACAGTCCATGGGGTCGCAAAGAGTCAGACACAACTCAGTGACTAACACACACACACAGGTATATTATATATTTTACATGTAGATAGAAAGGTAAATCTCTAAGATACCTCCCCAACTCTTTCCAAGTAAATGACTTTTATCCCTACTTCCTAGAGAAAATTGATGTTATTAGGCATAAATTTCCCCAGATCCCAACCCCTCAACTACAAATTAATCTGTATTCACACCACCTTCTTGCTCCTAAGGGTGACCCCATGGATGCCATGGACCCCATTATTTCTGACACCTCGGTTCCCTCTTTACTAACCAATGGCTCTTTCCTAACGGCGAGTGGCAAGAATCTGGTCTTGGCCAATTTGAAAACTTGCCTTCACCAGCATCTCCTCCTAGTGCTCATCACTCTGTCCTTTTTGGCACAGTCAAGTTTTCTGGAAAGGTTGGCAACGTCTGACAATCCCAGTTCCTTGTCTCCTATTTCCTAGTGAAACTTTTGCACTAGGGGTTTGCAGCTACCTCTGCCCAGAACTGCCAATGGCAAGGCCACTTGTGAGCTCCCAAAAGATGGATAACTGATGCTTCTCAGTATGTTACTGGAGTTAAAATTTTCTGAGACATAAAATATCATTGATTTTTCCTTCTTTCTACAACCCTCACCTTAGCTTCCCTGCCCTGTCAATTCCTGTTGTTGTTGTTTAGTCACTAAGTCATGTCCAACTCTTTGGCAACTCCACGGACTATGGTCTTCCAGGCTCCTCTGTCCATGGGATTTTCCAGGCAACAATACTGGAGCTGGTTGCCATTTCCTTCTCTAGAGTCTCTTCCCCATCCAGGGATCGAATTCACGGCTCCTGCATTGGCAGGCGGATTCTTTACACGGAGTCACCTGAGAAGCCCAACTCCCGCCCGTGCTCAAACCTTTCTACTGTTCCCACTTTCTTTGCAGGCGCCTCTTCTTCTCCCCTGGGTCAATTGCCTTCCTTGGACTTCTTTGCCATTTTTCTCATTTTCTTGGGCTAATCACCTCAACAACCCTAATGTTAATTATTACTTCCATGCTGATGACACTCGGATCTGTAACTCAGTCTTCCATCTCTCTTCTGGTGTTTCCTAGATCTAGACACTCAACAGAGTAACTTCATCTGATGTCCTGAAAAAACTCTTCAAATACAACATGAACTCAGTCAACCTCCACACTCCGCTCCTCCTCATGAACTCTTTATCTTATTTAATGAGACATGCATTTGCTTAGTCATGCAGGCAATCTACTGTGGGGTCACCCTGACTCGGTTGTTCTCAATCATGATTGCATGTTGGAATCACTTGAGGACAAGGCTGAAAAATACTGTCCTAGAACGGCGATTCTCAAACTTGGACATGCAAATAAACTACTTGTTAAAAGGCAGAATCTGACCCAATAGGTCCAGAGTGGAGCCGGACACCCTGCATTTCTAACAAACTTCCAGGGGATGCCAACGCTGCTGGTCTCCGCACCCACACAGTACAGAAACAGGTACCATCAGCATCAGCATCCCCAGGAAGCTTGTTAGAAATGCAGATTCTCAGATGCAGTCCTGGGCCGGCTGAGTCAGAAACCTATGGGCTGGGCCCAGCAATCCGTGTTTCACAAACCCTACAAGTGATTCTGATATGTGTTCGGGTTTGAGAATCACTGTTCTAGTTCTTCCTCTATACAGGAGTAGACTGTGTTGAGTCTATGTGCTTCTTACCTATCTCCTCTCTTCTAGTTTCACTGTTCAGATATGCCATCTCTTAGCCTTAAAAAAATTGTAACTGTCTTTTATCAAAATGAACTCTCTCTTTCCTAACCCTGTCATTTGTGTGCACTGGATGCCATTATTCCTCACCTACATAAGGACCTCTCTCTGTGCAGGCCCATTCTCCTACTTATTCTCTCTGTATTGAATCATCCTCATCAAAATATAAATACACTGTAATATCTTTAGTCCTAAAAAAAGATACCGTCCCTTGACCATTTTCCTTCCAGATGCTGGATATTTTCCAGATACTGCCCTATTTCTTTGCACCCCTTTGTAATAATTTCCGAAATAAAAAAAAAATTGACTACACTCACTTTCTCCATAACTTAACTCCTTTTGTCTTCTGAGCTCACTCCAGTTCACTCCAGAGTCTCATTCCAAGCAATTCATGAAACTGCTTTTCTAAGGACCTCCCATTGCTACTCAATGGTCAGCCTCAGTCCTCATCTTACTCAACCTCCCAGCAGTATCTGATCCAGTTTATTACCCCATACTTCTAGTAATTCCCTACATGATCTTATGCAGTTCCATGGCCTTAAACATTTGCTGTCAATATGTTGTTGCCTACTAAGAATATATCTCCATGCATGGACCTCTTTTATGGGCTTCAAACCAGTATATCCAACTATCTTTTAAGCATATTTGGAATTTCTAATAAGCATCTCAGCCAAGGTCCTCATTTCATGCTCTCACCTAAACCTACTCCTCCCATGCCCACCATTCATTCATTCCACAAGTGAGACAGACAACTCTACACCAGATATTTTCTTATGGCATAATGAGCATCCAAAACACTGCAAAATGTCTGCCCTGATGGATCTTACATTCTAGTATGGACAATCAACAAAACATAATGAATATGTAAACTGCACAGTATATAACAAAGGATGGGTAATGAATGAAAGAATAGAGTGAAGAGGATCAAGAGTTCTGGGTGGTTCACATGGACAGCAATGTAAAATAGAGTGGCATGAGAGACACAATTAAGAAGATGACACTTGAGAAGCAAGATGCCATTTGGACAATAGTTCATTAAATGGTACTCCCCCATCACCCAGTTTCTCAGGCCAAAATCCTTTCCTTAGTCTCTTCTAGGTTGGATCTTACACCTCCAAACTATAAGCAAATCTTACTGGCTCTATCTTCAAAATCTATCCCAAATTTAACCATATTTCTCCTCTTGTGCTACCATCACACCAAGTCATCATCATTTCTCACCTAGATTGATGACACTTCCTT